GCTACTAACCAGAACGAGAGGAAGATTGGTCCACAGTCGGACCGTTCCGACCGACCGGCCCGGTCCAGTTCTAACAACACTACTTCCAATTGGAGCCTTAGGCATAGTTTGTTATGAGGGAATAGGAGGAAAAAAAAAAGGAAAAGAAATGGAGGGGTAAGGTTTTCTATATTTGGATTGGTTTTCCAGGAGAGAAAGGAAAGGGAGGGATAAATTTTACTTATAGGGCGCTTGGTTCAAACTTAGGAATCGGAATTGCAATTGAAATCACGTCCAAAAATTCAGTTTGTGTTTTGATCAAGAGTATCATTACAATGACTAGAGTATGATATATGTTTATAAGGTTTTGGAATCAAGTTATTTTTCATTTTCTTTTCTTTATTTTTTCTTCTTTCCCTTTTCTTGCTTCCTTCTTCCCATTCTTTAAGTACTCAAGCTTCATTATATTCTCTTGAACCAATGCTTGACCATTATCGATCAACCTTGCAATCTATGAAGCATGGGAAAGCCATTGACAAGAGATGAGAGAAAAACTTACACAAAAAAGGCAAAAAAAAAGAGAGGAGAGAGAACCAAATGGAGAGGAACAGCTGCCATGGAGTATTAGAGGAGAGAGGAAGAGAGTGAAGAGAGAAAACAAAGGAAAGTGAGAGAGATTGACAAGAAAGAAGAGAGAATCAGATGAGGTGGGATTGCTGCTGTGGAGGATTGGAGAAGAGTGTGAAGATAGAAAAAGAGAGAAAATGATGATGATGAAAGCCTGTTGTGGAATTTGGGATGAGAGAGAAAAGATAAAAGGGGAAATCTGATGGTAAGGTGTTGCCATGAAGGTTGGGCCGACGTGATACGGTGATGAAGATGATATGCTTTCTTTTCTTTTTTAAAATTTTCGAGTCAAATTTGAGAATCCACTAAAACCCCTCCAATTAGCTGGGGATTGAAAACTCCCATATTTTAATAATTCTCTCCAAGATTGTGAATCCAAATACATATAACCCAAACAACAAGGATTGGAATTATTTCAATTCTTGATTTCGATCCGCTTTTACTAAACCGCACCTTATTCTTTGTCAGCTTGCTTTCTATCTAACAAATGTAGTGTGCATTCAGTCCCAATAGAATTACCGAATTACAAAATTCAAATTATCAAACTCTTTTCAAATTGACTACTTAACTCGATGCGAACCAGATGTGCTCATATTTTTCAAAAAAAAAAAAACATTAGGTTTTTATAGAAAGTTTTTTAAATTAATATGGAATATTCTTAATTACCACGGCTAGCCCTATCATTTCTAGTCCTATGGTTGCATCTTGTACCATAAAAGAATGAAAATCAAATTTGTTTCCCTTCCAGTGATTAGGTTTATCTTCTCAAACTGTTTGTTTGGACTTTTTATCCGAGGTGGGCAGTTGCAAAACTTTTTTCTCCAATTACACAAGGCACATTTGCAAAACTTCTAATTCTTTTTCTTTCTATTGTTTTTTCAAAGGGTTATTATCACTTTACCCCCTTAAACTATATCACTACTATCAGTTTACCCCTAACGTTATCTTTTAATTACTTTACCCTCATAAGTAATTCTATAAGTAATTCAATTCAACATGTTAAGAAATTTTGGACAAAAATATAATTTTATTTTATAGCATTACTACATTGTTATTATCACTTTATTCATTTAGATTATAGTGATACAATCACTTTAGTTCCTAACATTATTTTTTAGGCATTTTACTTCATCGTTAATCTAACTAGTATGGTCAGAAAATTTTAAATATATTTACCCTTTTTTATATATAATTAAAAATAAAAAAGTTGGAATGGTTATTTTTCCTTTTTTTCACATTAAGAGATCGAAAAACATAAAAATAAAAGGGTTTTCTCAAATTTCTTTTTTCACACTTATTAATACTAGGAAAAGAAAAAGAGATAGAAAAGAAGAAGAAAAAAAATTAGATTTTGCAAAGAAAGAAAATAAAGAAAAATCTAACATTATCGTATTACATTAAGATTGTCGGAATTATGATTGGAATTTAGCTGTAAACAGAAAAGTAAATAATTTTAAAATAATAAAAGTATTTAATTCTTTCTTATTTGTAATTTTTAAAAAAAGAATTGAGCTCTCTCCCTCTCTCCCTCTCCATCTTTCTATTATTTTTTGATATTAATAAGATTGTCAAGAAGAAAGAAATTAATATTTTGACTTTTTTTCTTGATACTAAAAAGGAGAAGAGCCACTCTAAATTTTTTATTATTTTTATTATACAAAGAGGAGGGTATTTTCTTTTAAAGTTTTTTAACTTGCTAAATTGGTTTAATTGTAGGATAAATTGCCTAAAAATAACTCTAGGGGGTAAATTGATAATGAGACTATAGTTTATGGAGGTAAGATGATAATAATTTTAAGGGTTAAACATGTCTTTTCACTTTAATTAACAAACTCCGTTAAGTTTGATCATTAGTTTTAGGGGTAAAGTGACTAAAAGATAATGTTAAGAGGAAAATTGACAGTGGCACCAAACGTTAAGGGGGTAAAGTGATAATAACCCTTTTTCAAACGAAAACCTTTATACTTCATTTAAATCCAAGCTCTGTTTTTAAACTCGGACCGGACCGACTGGTTCAATCGGTCGAACCGAGAACCGGACAATAGTCTGGTCTGAGTTAACCCTAAAAGCCGAAAAATAAAAAACTCGATCAAATCAGGTCAAAAACTGGGTTTGACCCTGTTTGACTTGAAAAATAAGAATCGAGTCTCTTTTTTTTTTTTTTTTTTTGAAAGGTCAAAATATTTTTAATATTATGTTTTGTCCCCTATGTTGTTAAAAATTATTAATATAGCTCAAATATTTCATACTTTATAAATATTGTCTTAAAGTTTGGTGTTATTTTTCAATTAAGTCCATAATTTTAATTCTAAACTTGTTAATGCTCATTAAATAATATAAATTACTACTTGATTGTTCTAATTTCTTTGTATTTTTTTGTTAAATATATTTGAAACATCAAATATATATGAATATACTTTTATTAATATTAACATATTATTAGATATTATACATATAATATTTTAATTTTTAAATAATTTTTATTTATGAATTAAAATCCGGTTCAACCCCGATCATTTTTATTTTTATTTATTTTAATTTTTAAATTATTTTTATTTATGAATTAAAATCCGGTTCAACCCCGATCAAACTCAGTTAAACCCATTGATCTCTGATAGAGCGGTTACTTGGCATAGTTTGCACTGTTATTTTGTCCTAATTTTGGCTATTTATTGTGCTAAGTACTGAGGTTTAACTCATATTTCACATTTGTATGAATTATAGGTGATCGGCATTAAAAATGATCTCTTGAGGCGAATTTACAGAAGACCCTTCGTCTCAGAGCGTGGCCACGCCTTGAAAGGTAGACATTACCGAAAGTCGGACCCCGGTCCACGTGAACCGCGAGGAGCACGGGATTAAAACTCCAAAGGCTAGCTTTTGCAATGAATTGGGTCAGACGTGACTTGGCTCTGAAAAAGGGCTTTAATTAAAAAAAAGAAAAGAAAAGGGACCTGACGTTCTGTTTCTTCTTGGCTTCTCTTGGTCGGCGCTACATATAGAAAAAGAAAAGGAGATTCAGAATCATCAGGACCATAACTTTAGTTTCTTTTTCTACTTTTTGGGGAGACGCCGTCTTTTGGGCTTTCTTTTGTTTTTCTTCTTCGGCAGCAATTACATTAGAAATTAGGAGGACATTAGCTTTCGCCTTGTCTCTCTTTCTGTCAGACACCTTTGTTCTTATTTCCTATCTAGCCGCAATTAGGGAAGAGATTCCTCTTGTGCGCGCGACTCCAGTGTGGACGCAATATACGAAAAACTGTTCCTTCACTGTTTCACCCTTCCAATTCTCCGACAATTAATTGAATGAACTCAATTAAACCACGCGGGATTGACATGATGAGGAGCGGCTAATTTTCTCCTCTACCCAAAGGTTGATGCGAAGGCGCGGTCCATAAAATCTGTGAGATCTAATCGAATCTTCATTATTTCTCCCAATTTATTGCTATTCATGCGTTTCCTGAATTAATTGTTCATGGGTATTTTATTAATTGAATATCAACGGCCGGGTATTTGATTTAATTTAATAGCCTACTGCCACGTTAATTAAATAGAATCCGTAATTGTTCATTTAGTTAACACATCGTGGCAACCACCATAATTGGTTTTATGATGGGGAAACGCAAGATCTAGCTTAAATAAACCCTCTTAGCGTGTTTATTGGTTAGGGTTGGGCTCTTCTAGTTTTAATGCAATTGGGTAATTAAATTCCTACGATCGTACCTAGGGTTGTTATCTGATTAGGGAAGCAGTCAATGGTCATACCTTGACTGTCGAAAAGGTAAGGAAGAACTGGCTGTCAGATCTTATTGGTAACTATAACCAACCTAGTGATGAATGGATGAAATATCTTTGCATCGATGATCATTTAATTGGACCGTGCCTGAGCAGTTGATCCTTTGGGTGGAATATTATTAATTGCTATTTTTAGTGAATTGTGCTTTGTGAGTCAGTTTTAAATTTAGTTCGCTTTATTTGTATTTTACTTTTATTTTATTTATTTATCTCCCATTGAAAATCCCCCAATTTTGTTCTACTAATTTGGAAAGAAATAATTTCCTACCCGCTCCCTGTGGAATCGACCCTACTTGTCATTGTATGCAAAATTAATATTTTTATAGACAAATCCGGTATATCGAATCAAGCAAACTCTTCGGGAACATGGTGAATCAAGTAACCCATTGCACACCTAGAGTCCCTACTCCAGTACTTGGATTTGGTTTATAATTATTTAATTGAGGTGGTAATTAGGACTTTTTAGTAATTATTATTGCACAGGTTCGGCACCTGTCAATTTTTTGCGCCGCTGCCGGGGAGCTGGCATTTGGATTACTTGTTTCTTTTCAAATTCAGTTTTTATTTTATTTTATTATTCTTGGTATTTTTGCTAGTTTATGCCCCGTTCTTCTCGCACAGGTGAATTGGTATACGATCCTGAGGTTGAGAAGGCAGCGCGTAGGCGGAGGCAAGAGACCAAGAGACAAAAAAAAGGACACTTACTTGCTGCAAACGAGTCAGTGAAAGACGAAATAAGTATGGCCAACACCCAAACACTGAGGGAGCTGGCTGCTCCGGAACTGACTCACCAGCCCTTATGCATCACATTCCCCACTTTGGCTGAGAATACTGCTTTCGAACTGAAGTCGGGGCTGATTCATCTTTTACCTTCTTTCCATGGTCTCTCTGGCGAAGAACCCCACAAGCACGTTAAGGAGTTCGAGATGGTTTGCTCTAGTATGAAACCTCTTGGGGTCACTGAAAAGCAAATTAGACTGAGAGCTTTTCCGTTCTCTCTAAAGGATGAGGCTAAAGATTGGCTGTACTACCTACCAGCAGGTAGTATTACCACATGGGCACAGTTGAAAAAGAAGTTTCTGGAAAAATTCTTCCCTGCATCCCGGGCTGCAAGTTTGAGGAAGAAAATCTGCAGCATTAAACAGTATCCCGGGGAATCCTTGTATGACTATTGGGAAAGATTTAACAAGTTGTGCACTAGATGCCCGCAGCATCAAATTAGTGAACAACTGTTAATCCAATATTTCTATGAAGGACGCCAATCAACGGATAGGAGTATCATAGATGTTACAAGCGGGGGAGCATTAGCAAATAAGACCTCGAGGGAAGCATGGCTGCTCATTGAGTCGATGGCGGAGAATTCTCAACAGTTTGGCTTCCGTGAGACTAACCCAACCCGTAGGGTCAACGAGGTGGAGACGTCGTCCATTCAGCAGCAGATATCGGAGTTAACATCCGTTGTTCGACAATTAGTGGTGGGAAATGTGCCCCAAGTAAAGGCCTGTGGAATCTGCACAAATATGGGCCACCATACTGACTCATGCCCTATGTTGCAAGAGGATGGGGTTGAACAAGTGAACATGGCTGGAGGCGTGCCCGCGCCTCGTAGGCAGTACGATCCATACTCCAACACATACAATCCTGGTTGGAGAGATCATCCCAATCTCAGCTATGGTAATAGGCCACAAAATGCATTCTCCAATCGTCCACCAGGATTCCAGCAACCTTGGCAACAGAAGTCCCAACCCGCGCCCTCCAACTCAGGAAGTTCCTTGGAGGAAATTGTCAAGAATTTGGCCACGACCACCACTCAACTCCAGCAGGAGACTAGGACCTTGGTCACGACCACTGTTCAACTCCAGCAAGAGACTAGGTCCTTGGTCGCGAGCACTACTCAATTCCAACATGATACCAAGGCAGGCATGAAGGACATGAAAACTCGCATGAGTCAAATGGCAACTGCCATTAATCCCTGGAGTCCCACGTCTATGGAAAATTGCCATCGCAACCTGAGGCAAACCCCAGAAATGTAAGCGCCATGACATTAAGGAGTGGCAAGGAAGTGGAAGGGCCAAGGGTCACGGACTTGAAGAGTAAAAGTGAAGACGAGATAGAGAAGGAGATAGAGGAAGAAGGACATATTCGTGGAGGTCCTGAGGTAACTCTTACACCATCAATACCCGTTAAATCTAATTTACCTTCTTTTCCATGCAGGCTGGCAAAGACGAAGAAGGCAGAGAAGGAAAAAGAGATCCTGGACGTGTTTAAAAAGGTGGAGATCAACATCCCCTTGTTGGAAGCAATTAAACAGGTGTCGAAGTACGCGAAATTTCTCAAGGATCTATGCACCCATAAAAGGAAATTGAGAGGGCATGAAAGAGTAGCGGTGGGAGAAAACGTGTCAGCCATGCTCCAAAGAAAGCTCCCACCCAAGTGTGGAGATCCAGATATGTTCACGATCCCGTGCAAAATAGGAAATACACCAATTAGAAAAGCAATGTTAGATTTAGGGGTGTCAATCAATGTGATGCCAAAGACCATTTTTACTTCTCTAAATCTTGGGCCACTTAAAGAAACGGCCATCATAATCCAACTAACTGATCGCACAAATGCTTATTCAGAGGGGCTAGTTGAGGATGTTTTGGTTCAGGTAAATGAATTAGTCTTTCCTGCAGATTTTTATATCTTGGACATGGGAGATGAAAAATCATTAAACCCGTCACCTATCTTGTTAGGTTGACCGTTTCTTAGCACTGCTAGGACTAAGATAGATGTGAATGAGGGTACTTTGTCAATGGAATTTGATGGTGAAACTGTGAATTTCAATATTTTTGAGGCGATGAAATATCCAGAAGAATCTAACTCGGTCTTTGCTTTGAGCGTTGTTGAGCCTTTTGTGCAGGAAATCTTCGAATTAGATGGCGAAGACGCATTGGAAGTGGCTCTAATGAAGCATTTGGAGTTGGGTGTAACTCTTGATGTGGACTTGAGGGAAGAGTTGCTCTATGCTGTTGAAGCCTTACACTCACTTCCACCCGTATCCCCAAGGTATGAACTTACCTCTCTTTTTGCGCCAGAGGCTCAGACAAAGTTGCTCCCTTCAGTTGTGCAGGCACCGGAGTTAGAATTAAAGCCTCTCCCAAAGCATCTAAAGTACGCATTCCTAGGAGACCGGGAGACACTGCCGGTGATCATCTCTGCACACCTATCTCCAAGTCAAGAAGACAAACTGGTGCGAATCCTTAGAGAGCATAAGGAGGCAATTGCGTGGAGTATAGCCGATATTAAAGGGATCAACCCGTCCTTGTGCATGCACCGGATAAGACTCGAGGATGATGCAAAGCCGGTGAGGCAAGCACAGCGAAGATTGAACCCTCTGATGATGGAAGTTGTTAAAAAGGAGATACTCAAACTCCTGGAGGTGGGGATCATTTTCGCTATTTCGGATAGCCCGTGGGTGAGTCCTGTCCATGTGGTCCCGAAGAAGGCGGGAGTGACCGTAGAGGAGAACCAGGAGGGTGATATGGTCCCGGTCAGAAAAGCTACTGGCTGGCGTCAGGGCATCGACTATCGGAGGCTAAATGCCGTGACTAAAAATGATCATTTCTCCTCCCTTTTATTGATCAGATGGTAGAACGATTGGTGGGTCGTGTTTACTATTGTTTCTTGGATGGCTTTTCAGGTTACTTTCAGATCGCGATAGCACCAGAAGACCAGGAAAAGACTACATTCACATGCCCGTTCGGTACATTCGCTTATCGCCGGATGCCTTTCGGTCTCTGCAATGCTCCAGCAACCTTTCAACGGTGTATGGTAAGTATTTTCTCTGAATATGTGAAAAAAATAATTGAGGTGTTCATGGATGATTTTAGTGTATACGGGGACAGTTTTGATGAATGCCTTAAAAATCTGGCTCTAATTCTGAAAAGATGCATAGAGACGAATTTGGTGCTTAATTGGGAAAAATGTCACTTTATGGTAGATCATGACATTGTCTTAGGGCACGTTGTGTCGACTAAGGGAATAGAGGTAGATAAAGCTAAAATAGACCTTATTTCTGCTCTATCTTACCCCGTATGTGTACGGAAAGTGCGTTCGTTTTTGGGTTATGCAGGAGGTTTATCAAAGACTTCTCAAAGATAGGAACACCCCTGTTCAAGTTACTGCAAAAGGATGTGCCATTTGATTTCACGAATAAATGTAAGGTGGCTTTTGATAAATTGAAGGAGTCGTTGACATCGCCACCTGTCATTCAACCACCAGATTGGAGCGTTCCGTTTGAAATCATGTGTGACGCAAGTGACTATGCCGTGGGGGCCGTTTTGGAGCAAAGAATTGGAAAAGTGCTACATGCGATCTACTACGCGTCGAGAGCATTAAGTGGAGCCCAACTTAATTACTCCACGACGGAGAAAGAATTACTAGCTGTTGTTTTTGCACTAGAAAAATTTAGGTTATATTTATTAGGTGCAAAAGTAATTGTTTTCTCTGATCATGCAGCCTTGAGGTACTTGCTGGCGAAGAAGGATGCAAAATCGAGACTGATCAGGTGGATCCTGCTCCTGCAGGAATTCGATCTAGAGATCAAGGACAAGAGCGAAACCGAAAATTTGGTGGCTGAGCATTTGAGCCGGTTGCTCACAAATCAAGAAGATCTACCGTTGAGAGAATCATTCCCTGAGGAGCAACTTCTAGCCATTAATTCGTCGACGCCATGATATGCTGATATTGTCAATTTTTTGATGACAAACCAATTACCTGCAGGTTAGCCAAAGGTTAAAAGAGATAAGTTAAGAAATGACGCCAAGCACTATATTTGGGATGACCCCTACCTGTGGAGGCAATGCTCGGACCAGGTGATAAGAAGGTGTGTAAGTGCAGGTGAGTTTCATTCTATTTTGACTTTCTGTCATTCGTTTGCATGTGGAGGGCATTTTGGTCCAAAGCGGACGGCTCGTAAGGTGTTAGAAAGTAGTTTTTATTGGCCTACTCTGTTTAACGATGCATATTTGTTCTGCAAATCTTGTGATAAGTGTCAAAGGGTGGGAAATATCTCTCGTAGAGATCAAATGAGTCAAACCCCCATATTATTTGTTGAGATTTTTTATGTTTGAGGTATAGATTTCATGGGTCCCTTCCCCTCGTCTTTTGGTTTCTTGTACATTATACTTACTGTTGACTATGTTTCCAAATGGGTGGAGGCGAAGGCCACCCGGACTAATGATTCGAGAGTGGTTGCAGATTTTATAAAATCTAACATCTTTGTTCGTTTTGGGATGCCGAGAGCTATAGTGAGTGACAGGGGCACCTATTTCTGCAATAAGACAATCACCGCATTGTTTCGTAAGTATGGTGTGCTCCATAAAGTGTCCATTCCATATCATCCACAGACGAATGGTCAGGCCGAAGTGTCAAATAGGGAGGTCAAGTCAATTCTAGAGAAGGTGGTGCGGCCTGATAGGAAAGACTGGTGTCTGAAATTGGAAGATGCTCTCTGGGCCTACCGCACTGAATATAAGACGCCGATTGGGATGTCCCCATACAGGTTAGTTTTTGGGAAGCCTTGCCACCTCCCGGTGGAATTTGAACACAGAGCATTCTGGGAGCTTAAGCAGTGTAATATGGACCTTATGGGGGTCGGAGGAAATAGAAAGCTCCAATTACAAGAGTTGGAGGAGCTAAGGAATGAAGCCTATGAGAACGCTGCAATATATAAGGAGAAGAGCAAAATTTTTCATGACCAACAGGTTTCGAGAAAGTCATTTGTCATAGGGCAAAAAGTCCTACTTTATCACTCGAAACTTAAGCTTTTTCCTGGTAAGTTGCGTTCCCGTTGGATTGGTCCATTTGTTGTTACTAATATTTCCCATCATGGTGCAGTGGAAATCCAAAGTTTGAAGACGGAAAAGAAGTTCGTGGTAAATGGTCATCGTTTGAAACCCTATTATGAAGGGTTTAATAGTGAGCAAATGGAGGTTTTATTCCTTGATGATCCAAGTGGAGAGGTTTAAACAATTGAAGGCCATGTCTAGCCAAAGACGTTAAAGAAAGGCGCTGCTTGGGAGGCAACCCAAGGATTACAATATTAGTTGTGATCATTTTTCCTTACTCTGCGATTTTTCAGTTTTATTTCATGTTTTGATTGTTTTTGTGGTGTTGGACAGAAGAATAGAGGTTCCAAGGCGTGCCCACGTCCTGGAAGGGGTGCGCCAGGTGCCCTGAGCAAAGCGGAGACTAGTAGTCCCAAGGCGTGCCCACGCCTTGACGGAAATTTGTATGGACATCATTTAAATGCCGTGGTCAGAAGCTCATGTCCTCCAAGGCATACCCACGCCTTCCGACCCTTCCAATAGCGAAAGTCAAAAAATATATATATAATATTTTGACCAAGACCCTACTTTTTCCTCCTAATTTCTTTCGACTACGCTGCAACAACTTCTCCTCCCTGTTTTGGTCAAGCCGCCGCTGCCGCCTGCGCAGCCCGCCACCGCCGCCTTCGCGCGCCCCTGCTCCCTTCAGCACCGCGCGCCTCAGATCCTCAGTCCGCCACCGCCAGATCCGTCACTCCAGCCGCGCGCAACGCAACCCAGCAGCTCGCGCATGCTGCGCGACTACCCCAGAGCGCCAGCCTCTCCAGGCTCGCGACCCAGCACGCTCTGCGCAACTCCAGCGCCCGGCCGCCCGCGCGCGCGAGCTTCTCCCCAACGAGAAACCTCCAGCGCGCGCCCCCACTCGGCCAGCAGCACGCGGCCTTTTTCCCCCTGAGCAGCCTTACGGTGCGCGACTCCACGACCAGCATCCGCGCGCGCTCGCCTGCAGCACGCGGCCCTTTTCGCAGCTGCGAGACACCAGTCCTCCCTCTCCGCCATTTTCCTCTCCAGCGTGGACAAAGAGTAAAAGTGGTACCCCCTTTTTTTTTTTTTGCCTCTCTTGTTGAATTGGTGACTTTGATGGGGAATTTTAATTGCTAAATTTTCGCTTCCTGCTAGGTTAACAAAAAAATTATTCGGTTAATTGGAGGGACCATTTAATT